CTCTCTCTCTTTGACACGTCAAGATTTTTAGGATACATCTTGCAACACTTCACTAGAAACGCCCCACGAATACTGGAAGGAAGTTCAGGTACGCGCCGACTTTTTTTTGTGCACGATCGGCTACCAAAGCAGCATTTGTTTATCATCTCTGTACGCCCCTTTTAGCCCCCAGCCTCAGAGAGCAGCGGCTTCCACTCGGGCCAAGACGACGCGTACGCCGGGCAGTTTGGCCGAGTTCGGTTGAGGAAGAGCACGATGGAAAGTGATTCCCACTTTTAAGCCCATGCTCAATAACATTTTTCTCATGAGTTGAATGTTGTAAACTATACAAACTCCAAATTTTAACCTTGTATTTCCTTGACATTTTGATAGGGGGAAGAAATGCTATTGGGTACGTGTGATGATTCTCGGGGATTCCCCTCGGCTTTGCCCGAAATATGGATTTTGCTTTGCTTTTTATTGGTGTGGTTATCGATGCCTTTATTGTGATTGGTGGTGTGATTATGTTTGTGTGGTGTTTTAAGATTGATTAATAAATGATAACTTTTTCTAGAGCAACCCGTGCCTAAAACCATAATCCCGGCAATCGTGCTTCGTAAATTAGAGGTTACTCGGTCCCGGCTAGCATGATTCGCGCTGATAAGAACGTCTTTCTTCCCAGGTGCACTCAGCGGTGACTCACCGGCATCCATCCTATTGATTTACTACCATGCCTAAGCGCAAATTCCTAGGGTCCGGCGGATTCGGGCAGGTCTACATATTAGAAAAATATTATCCGTAAGTTGCCCTCCCTCAAACACCCTGGGGATCTACAGGGTGCCCCGAAATTCATTGAGTCTTTTCACGCCAGTCTTTAAGAACTAATCCATTTTTTAGCCCGATCGTCGTCAAAGAACTTCCTGGGCGAAACGAAAACGATGACGTGTATAAAAGAGAGTGGACCGTGCTGAAGGAATTGGCACATGTCAATGTTGTCAAATTCATCGACAGACCACCAGACTATAGTGACTATACGGCAGGATGTGCCCGGATTTTTATGGAATACTGCCAATATGGGACACTCAAAGAAGGTACAGGGGCGAATCGTGGATTCTCGCAGACGAAGCCGTGTTTTTAGCCATTCCAAACCCGGAATGGATCTACTCGGTATCGACGATTGTCGAGTGGGCCAAAGCACTATTTTCTGGACTCGAGTACCTGCATGGCAAAGGTGTCATTCACCAGGATATCATGCCCGCCAAGTTAGGATTCCTTTATTTTGAAAAGATTCTTTTAAACAAGGCGCTTCTGCATGTGACTTCAAACATTTTTCGCAATCTCTGGAAAAATCGGTTGGAGATAGCTGATCCCAAAGCGCACATTTTTTCTGATCACGATTAACTAATTGATCACCACAAGGTCCGCCTTGACCCGACTCCAAACTCAAATCACCCTAAAAAACGTTTTTTTTTGTTAGCCTATTGCTGGCGGACAACTTTCTGCTGAAGATCTGCGACTTCGGCATCACCCGGCGGGACTGCGAGGCGGGCATGTTGTGTGGAACCCCTGGGTACATGGCCCCGGAGGTTTTGGCCTGTGGTGCCGTCGCTGGCGATCAGAATTACAAATGCGATATCTACAGCGCCGGCATCGTCATCCGGGAAATCACCGTTCGTAGGTAGTCCCTATTAAACCTTATCCAAGCGCTCTGCGTAACTTTCCGAAATCAAGTTCAGATCGCCGGCTCCCGAGCAACGAGCAACAACGAGCAACAAGGCCTTCAAGCTGTCACCAAACGGCGACGGGTTAGCACAGCTATTCCAACGGTAATGATTTATGATTTTAGTCTTTTGATCTTTTTTGTCCAAAACAGCGACGACGTTTTATGATGAAAACTAAGAACGCAAACGTCGGATTCGCGCGATCGACCCAGTGCTACCGAAATGCTTGAACTCTATTCGATGCTCGGAGAAATGTGGCGGCGCCACTCGAAAGCGCCTGAGCATCAGGTAGGTAATCGAAAGGAACCCAGACGAAACCAAACGGCTTCACTTTGCATTTCGAAATCCAGGATTGTGGTGCGAGTTACGCTCAGGCGCGTAGAAGGGGGGCAGTGGGGGCAGACTTATGATTTTTTTCCACTCGAAAATTTTCGCGCCTGCGGCGCTGTTTTTAAAGACTTTTTCTTCATTTTTTAGCCTGCGGCGCTGCTATTTTAGTAAAATTTTTCGCCTGCCACGCTCAAAATTCGAAAATTTTTCTTTGCTGGGATAGGTGATTTTCGAGCAGATGATCGGCCACCTTCCGGCACTTCTAGGCAGTGACCCTTTCGTTTTTTGACCATTAGGTTCAATCCCCGGACGCACGAATTTTTACTTCCGAGCCCCTTTAAGACACATCTTTAGGCGATGGCCGTGGCTCCAGAGGTACGTCGCGGCAACACCATCCTCTACCAACCGATCGGGCTCGACGACACCCACAGGGAGTGGCCCGTGATGGATCTATCACCACCAGCAGTTTGGTGCTCTTTCTGCGACACGGTGTCGCAACGCGATAGGTCTGGAGCGACGCCGATCATTCAACACGCCGCGGTTCCGCTCAAGAAATTTCAGCTATGGCTTAACAAGATCGAGCGAGATGCGAATTTCGGCAAGCTGCTAGTCCTGCCAACGCTGCGCGGACGTTTAGCCGAATTCTACGAGACAATTTATCGACCATATGATGCGGGGGAGCTACACCCATGTATGCCCGAGCATCCATTAGGAGATGCCCTTTGGGCCTACGTCACCGCCAAGACTTCAGGGACGCCGAGTAGCGCGACTGAGCGAGCACGGCTAAACATGCAGTCAGAAACGCTGCGCGGTGATGATGTGAGCCCTCTGCGACAGGCGCTCATCATGGATTTCAATGCAGCATGGTCCCAAGCAGATCTCTGCCTACGACAAGCACTGGTGAAGGATGCCGAAGATTTCCTGGAGGGAGAACCGTGGGATATCAAACAACTTCCCTCAGAGTGCCATCGGCTATTCAATGTGCTGATCGGATTAGACGGCTTGATCCAACAATCCAGCCTCACAATGGCAGTTAAAGTACTTTCCGCTTCACATTGGACACGTTTGGATTCGGGGGAGTTGAAACAAATACTCGAACGTGCCTTGAGTCTCATAGAAACGCTGGAGAAAATCCACACCAAGCGTATCTATTGGAAAATCTATGCAATTCCGGACTCGAACGATATATGGTATCAGGCAGACTTTGCTAGCCTGCTGGTGCGCTTAGACTTGAAGAGTTTTCGGACCAACGAAGCTCGGAGAGGCGAACTGATGGAGCAGCTTCCATTGGGAGCAGCCCCAATTGACATCGAGGCGGTGCGCCGGGCTCTCGTCGACCGTCTACAGGCTATCCGCACATTCGATGCTGCGATGCAACACCGCGACAAGGCGAAAACCCCGGCACGAGCACCCCTATTTGAAAATGTATTACCGTTACGTGCCGAAATTCGCTCCGGATCTTTTGGAGACGTGCCAAGTGATGGTGTACACCCAGCCGTTCCCCGGTTATTGTTTCCACCCGAGTTGGCCCCCCGATGACCTATGCTTTTGCAATGTGGGGCAGATTCGAGAAGGCAGCTGTGAGAAGTGTCTAGAGGCAATCCGAAATAATGGGGAGAAGGTGCGGTTTCTTGAAGAACTGAAATTCTATACCAGGTATTGAGTTTGAACGTCTTTAAACATGCAAATGTCTGGATTTGAGTACGTAGGGTACAGTCACAAAGCCTCTCAAACCAATACCCTATCTTAGGGCCCTCTGGTGTCTCAATGACTGGGAGAACTTCGAGGACGAGAGGCGATCCGTCCGTCTTTATTTTCTCGAAAAGCTGCTCGTCGACGTCGAGGAGAGGCATGAAACATTCTTCCCCGTCTTCTTCTTCTCCTACGAGGACGAAGAACACCGAGGGGTGTATTTGGGACGAGAGGTGGATGACCTGCACATTAACGGCCTCAACGAGCCGTGGCTCGGTGACCACGGCCTAATGCAGCGTGCAACGGGCACCGTACGTATGATTCCGTTTGCTGCGCTGATGCCAGCGCTGCTGCTCTTGTACGGGAATCTGCTGGCAAGTGGGTCTTGTTGCCGAAAGACATTCCCCCGAAATTCATTTGATTGACAATTCATTAGCAATAAGCCGGCAAAGGCCATTGTGATTTGATGATCAAACATGATGACCGGTAAATTCGGCCTTAACGAATTGTCGACATGATGATTATCGGTCAACGAGTGTCGGTGTAGTGCTCCGATAACAATATTCCCACCGGAATTTGTATATTAATTTAGGGTGCTTTTCAAATAGGCGGGGGGGGGGGAAAGATTTAGGCGGGGAGGAAACCGAACTTTTTTCCGCCCAAGCCAATATTTTTTATATAAATAGTAGAATTCATTGGCAAGATTGTAATTGTGGAAGTGTTTCTAAATTGTTTTTAGCTATTCCTAAACATAAAAACTTTACAAAACTTAATTAAAAAATTTCATTTTAGGTCGAAAAATCAATTTCTTCGGCCCAAAAATGACCAAATTTTCGACTTTTTCAAGCGTTTTTCTAACTTTTTAAAAAGTGTTTCCTATTCAAATAGGCTTAAATTTTGCTAAAAACAATGTGAAAACACTTTATATTTGGTTACTATCCCCACCAGGGCCGACAAAAAAAGTTGGTTTCCCCCCGCCTATTTGAAAAGCACCTAATTTAGAGACCAACTGTGGCCGGATAAAGCACCTTCTCGCCGCGCTATGGGAAGACACTAGGCCGCCATGGGAAAGCAGCTACCCATCTAGGAATCTATACAAAGAAGATCAGGAACGACAGGCGAAAGGTAGGTCTAGCAAAAAGTGGGTAGGACAGAAACACGAAAATCGTGTCATTCAAATTAGCAACGAGGACCTGAGAAGTCCATCATTTAGAACTAAACAATAGTCAGCAGGCAAGGTATCCATTGCAAGGCCTTTTGCTCACTAACAACAAAAACAAGCATTCTAGTTTCGGACTAAGCTTAACAAATTTTCGAAAACCGCGATAATGATTGCATTTAGAATGTGAGGAAGAATCCGGACCCGACGAATATGCCCAATCTAGGCTAAGCAGGGCGTACACGATCTAGTGCAAAATAATTTTTAAATAATGACGCTATCAGTTTTATTTTCTAGGCGGTAATTCTGTATGAATAAAGACTTTAAATCTAACAATTACCACGAGGTAACACTTGATAGCACATAACTGATCACCGATATAATTATTATTATTTCGTGCGAATTTTTTCGATATTCATGTTGAATGTTTAAAACCAAAAGTTATACCAAAGCAAACAAAACGAAAAGTTTTAAATAAAATGCGCCGCTCTAGCCCGAGTTTCGCAACAACAACAAAAAAAACCGGTCCCGCTTTCCGCGTGCGCGCGCTACACGCTAGGGAATTTCGCGGGGGCTGTTGAGTCACATTTCGGGACAGCATCGATTGGACGTCCCCGGCTACTACGATTCCTCGGCCTTTGTTTGAAAAAGCCAATTTGCATCTTGAAAACGGCGAAAGATTCGATGGAGCCTACGCCCAGTTCGTCTACCGATTTACAGGGGATTGAGAGCCAGCAGAAGCGCTATGGTAAGGTTTTAAAAGTTAAAAATACATTTAACGCAGTGTCAGCCTAATTTTTGTATAATTTTTATGTGCTAACGGACTTTACAGAGAGGAAAACCGGAAATTTTAAGAATCAAAGTTAATAGAATTCGAGACAATAGTAAACTTTAGGAAATAAAGCTTTCAAACTTACAAAATAAATAAAATTAACGTTTAAAGGTTTAAAAACATGTATTTTGTGCCATTTTTCTAGGCCGAGACGATGAGGCTTACACTCATATTCCGCCGAACACCGATAGCGATTGCTTGGGTTGGATAGCGGCCAGCTGTTGCGCCATTGGTAAGTTTTTGCTTAGAAAATATAATTTTTATTTTCCTATTAGTTTACGATTTTGTTTAATAGTTAAATCCGACGGAATAACCTCGAAATGTTTCTTAGAAAACTTAAAATTTTAGGCGCTGCCCTTTGCGTAAAGGGCGCGACGGATCGGCGGAACCGGGCGGCCTCGCTACGCTGGCTTTGGCTATTACTTGCCGGCTTTTTCTTCATGCTACTGGCCACTGCCTGTATCGCGTTGTACTTTATTTTTCTCTCCAACCCGCACGCCGCCAAGGAGCGCCAAGTGTACGATGTGCTTGAATTTTTCGACCCTCAAAATAGCACCCAAACTGGTCAATAAACAGTGCCATTTTTGTGATGTGCATCCGAATAAATTTTCTGATTTGATAAAAGCGTCATAACGATTCGTGAAGAACCACTGCAAGCCTGCCCGGCGCCCAAGATCACCCACCACGCTATACAAACAATATTACAAGCCCTTTAGAAGACGCCCCGGGGCAGATTCCCATCAAAATTGATGATATTGACCATTTGGTCGCCAACTTCCTGGTTACTGTGTATAAATTGGGAAACTCCGGGAGCAAGACCGGCATGTTAAAATAAGATATGTACCGACTTCTACTGCTTCTCAGCGTTTTTGTTCCCGTTGCACAGGTTTGTAAAAGTAAAAAACAACTTGACCAAAATTACTCTGGTAGCTTTGCAAGAACAATTTTATATTTATTGATACAGCAACAAAAATGCGTATAGCAAAATAAGCCAATTTAGTCCTGTACCGCTACGCATGCCGTGAACAACAACGATGAGGGCCTACCGGCTTCATTGACGAATGATCGTAGGAACATTTTACTTGTTTTTTACTAGAAGTATTTGGAGTTTAGCAATTTAAAAAAAGCAGCGTTTAAACAAAAAACTGTTTTTTTTTACTATTCCTACACCCAAACTTTACAAATTCTTAGAAAAAAAGCGTAAGAAATCGATTTTTCGAACAAAATCGCCTTTTTTTTGACCAAAATTTGGACTTTTGGAAATTTTTAGATAGTTTTTCTACTTGAAATATAGTTTTAATTTACCAGAAGCATCAATAAATAACTCCCGATTACGTTACTAAGCATTAACCTCAATGCTAGGCCGAAAACGAGAGCTGCCCGCCGGTAGAGGCCCCATGCAAGTGTATTTGAGAACAAACATCGACTATGATCCCAAGATGGAGGTCGAGCTGATTGAAGCCGTCAAGCAGCAGGTAAGCCAGTTACTTTTTTGCCCAAACCAAACGTATAATAAACGTTCAGATCAACGCGTACGGGCTGCAAAAGACAAAAATCGTGTGGAAGATCAAGAAGATTGGCGGGGCGTTTATGCTCATTTTCGAGAGCGACGACGCTGAGCTGGGATGTACGCAAGTGGAGGGCTACATTCGAGAGTCAGCCTTGCAGCTCGATATGGTAAGCATAACTGGAAGTATTTTCGAATTAAATGATGATTTTACCTAGAGACTATCTCGGTTCTTGCGCATTATCGGGGTGGGGGGGGATTTTTTGTACAAGGCTATAGATGTCTACTAACTTAATAGGAGGTGTT